ATCATTTACAGTCCAAAGAAATGCTCGATTTGTAAAAAGAGATGTTTCTTTCGACTAAGAAAAATGATAAAATGTATAGGTGAGTAAAGTATAAGTAATATAAGACCAAAAATGTAATTGTTATATTTTTATTACATATTTAATGTTTATGAAATTTTATATAATATACATATACATTAGCGTCGATACTCACGATGAATTTCTAATTAAAACGTAAAATTATTATTCGGCAGCTTGCAAAACTGTTATGCACAATAAGTGTTTTGTGGCGGTAAACCATCGCTGCATTTGTACCGATGCCACAGCAATGGTGACGGACGAACGGGTTCTGCCGTCAGAGAAGGCAGACAGCGAAGATGTCCCGTTGCAGGTGACTAGCACGGAGTTACCGGACAAGATCCAGCCGGCTTCAACAGCGCGGCTATCGTGGAAAATGCAGGACGAGGTCCTGCAGTCTTCGATTGCGGTTTTGAAAGAGATTGAATGCGATCAAGAGGCGATGCTGGCCGTGGCTTATACCATGGGTATGCTTCTTTATGAGGTAGAGGACGCGGCAAAGACTGCGATGAATGAACGTGACAGCCAAATAGTTATTACAAGTGAGGCGCAGGAAGAGGTCCTGCGATCTTCGATTTCGGCTTTAAGAGAGGTGGAAGACGAACAAGAGGCAATGCTGGCCGCGGCTTATACCGTGGGTATGCTTCTGTACGTGGTTGAGGACGTGGCAGACTACGGTGAATAAAACCTAAAGCGCAACAGTCGTTGCAAGTATGGTGCAGGATTGTACGGACAATGAGAACATTTGATTCTTTGAAGTTTCAAATTGAATATGTCAATGAAAAATCTCAATATCTACTCATTGATCATTGCAAATTCAGATTTAAATTGGTTCATTATTTAATTTTTTGTTTTTTAATTATATTTACCTTACGTATGTTCTTACGCAAACTTTTTTTTTTTTGATTCTTATATTGTTACTACTTATTTTATAACTATATTACTGTTATACTGAAGTTATATTGTACTTATAAATAACACATATTTCTTATTTTTTTATATCCGTGTCTTACCTGTATTCATATACAAACTTTTTTCAAAAAAAGTTTTGAAGAAGCACATAAGCATTTTTAGAAATACCTCATTTTTTTGAAAGTTTTTATGTAATCAAATTTTTATTTTTACATATCAAGACTTAAAAATCATGGAATTGACTACTTTTACATACATTTTCAACTTTTAAATCTTCATTAAAAGAAATTGACCCATTCATTTAGAATGAAATAATGAAATTTTGAATTCGGATAGAATAATACGTTTTGAATATTTGGTTAAAAAAAATATCTTCTTCGTTAAACAATGAAATGTTAAACAGGTTGATAAAAAAACCTACCGAAAATTAGATTAAACATGATAAAATATATAAACAATATATTTTTATATTGAGCTTTACTAAGAATTGTCTTACTAAAAAAATTACTTATAATTTCTTTAAAAATCAATATACACCACTACCCAGTCCAAGGACCGAAGGGATGAATGACGAACTTCTGACACTATTATCTAACCATTTTTTGATTCTTATTATACCGTGATTACCTATACGTGGTATTCATTGTTATAATATATTATTCATTGTACTCGTTCTTACATGCATATTTGTATGATTATTAATATTTTTTTATCGGAAAAAATTAGCTTATATGTCTTACAAATCGAATGGTGATAATTTCCTACCTTCTATAAATTAAAACCATAAATGTAAATTAATTTAATTAAATTTAAAAGTAGTTATTCCAATGTTTTTAAAAAAATCTTTATCAATCCAAATTATGTAATGGTCAGTGTCAGTGGCGTGGAAAGCATATTCCAAACCCTAAGCAAAGTATATAAACAATGACCCACTCCCTCCCCATACTACATAATATATATAAATATGTATATACTATTCAATTTTATTAAATTCTTTCAAATACTTAACCTATCTATGATTTGTGCATATTAAAATATTTTTCAATGTATGCAACTAACCAATTTAATTGTTAAAATAAAATATGTTCATAAATACATGAGCCAAATGACACACAGCCCCTTGATAGGTTTCTAGGGCTAAGCCATTGTATTAGGCAAACTTCGTTCACCACGTCACTGCTGGCCGTGGGTACAGAATGTTATGTATAAATAATTTAAACTATAAAGATAAATAAATACAGTAGTGAGTGGTCCTTTGATGTACAATATCATATTATTTTTCAAACACTTCGGCGCCATTGCTGTATATTATGATGAAAAATTCAATAAAATTGTTTATTATAATTTAGAAAATTAGATATTTCTAAAGAATGCAGTGTCACTTTTTATGTGATCTACATACTTATTAGAAAAAGTAGATTAACTTTTTTTAAACTGAGTTAAGTTAATATTTTTTTCTGTATTAACTTTTAACTTATCGAGTTAAATTTATGAATTGTTAACTGGTTAACTTATCGATCTTGTGTTCTCTTAACTCGAGTTAATTATTTTCATTAACTTTGCCCATCATTGCGCGCTCGCATATAGTTGTATACTTTTATGGTACATACACATAAACCACATAGCATCATTAGCCCCCCTTGGCAAGGCCACTGGAGTTTTAGGTACATTTTGTTGGTACTTACAAAACACAATTGCCAGTTTATAGCAATCGTTGTACAACAGTTGGGGGTTTATATTGGTAGATACCATTCACAGTTCAAATCAACGATTTTAACTTTATGATACCCCTTATCTCGCACTTGTTTTTAATCCGGAGGTCCTCCAAATCTTCTCGGATACGTTTCCATTATTGGCTTGCCGTTCCCGCACTCATGTAGAATCATTATTCAATGACTTCATTCGGTCTAGTTTTCCCACTTTAACGTCTGGCAATCACTGATGGTTTTTTTTCGGTCGGGTTAGGTAGATTCTTTTTATTTTATCCCTACACTTAACATGTCTTTTGCCGATAAACTCAATACTCTTTCATTGTCATTCACCACAAAATGCTATGCAATTATTAGCGTCCTACAGTTAATTTAGCCGTAAGATCATTGTAATATTTTAATCGCCTCTAAACACTCAATCCTACCTTCTTGCTTTGTCATAAATCCCGTTTAATATATCTTTATCCCCCCTTTTTCTTCTTATTCAAGTTCCTATTATTTCGTTTCCAGGTCATAAACAAGCAAATACAATTCCTATGGGTGTCTAGCCATGTCAGCAGTTTTTTCTTGCGCTTTTTGTTGCCTAACAAATTATATGTCTATACTAGAGTAGTTAATATACAATGTATAATAATATTTAGGTATAAAAATAACATAACTTAAAATATACAAAACAATACGCTTTCCAACACATATTAATGCAATTTTTATAAATATAAAAATACATGTAACTACAATATTTAGATTTATGTCGTTGACTATTTACATTATTAAACCTAGTGATTTTTTGAGTTAAACTTACTTCATTCCTCAGCTTTATTATAATTTGTAATGATATAGGAGATTTAGTATTTATTCAGATACAGGCACTTAACTGCAGACTAGATATAAACTTAATTTTCTTAGGCCATGGTTATACACCATAACATCTCAGTTCAATATTTTATCAGAATATAATAAAATCAATCCAAAAAACAGTATTACTGGGTTTTATCTCAAAGCAAAACATAATTCATTACTTTTATTAAGTACGGTTTTCAAAACATTATATTACAAAAAATAAACAAATCAAATCATAATTAATTTGTTTAAAAATGTAATTGTTTTTCAATAAATAAAACCAAAAATACAATAATTTAAAAGTATAAAGAATGGATAAGAATACTAAAAATATTTAGTTAATATAGGTACTTAAGTATCTAAAAGTTATTAGGTATTTTCTTAATGGTACTTAAACATGTATTTACAATGAACCGTAGAACTAAATAATATTAAATTGATTCTCAAGGAGATGGAACAAAGTTGGTAAATATTTCCAATTTTTTTTAACAATATTAAATTAACTGCGGTTCATATAAATTAATATTTCAACAGTCTAAGTATAATAATATTATATGCATACAAGTACAGTCACAAGTGTGCGTAAATTCAAAACTTAAGTATAAAAGATAAACGTCACAGTTGCCAATAATTTAAGGCAAGATCCATTACAATAGTAAAATTAATGTATATATAAAAAAAAAAACAAAGATTAAAATTCATACAAAAATAAAATGTTAACACTTTTTTTTTCTTAACGATATTCCCACTAGGACACAAATAAATAAAAACTTTAAAATACCAATCAGTTAAGTAAACAATATTGGATGGATATTATGTCAGGGCACAATAAATATATATAAGTTATGGGTATTCAAGCAATATATATTAAATTAAATTAAATTAACATAATATTTGAGCAATGAATGGCATTATAGTGCTTTTGTTCGTGGTAAAACTATTGAAGGAATGTATAATATATCAATACTAGTTACATTAAGCCATCAACAAAAAATCAATGGATAATAAAAAATTACTGTTATATGTAGCATTAACTAAATTTTATTGAGAAAAATATAGATTTAAAAATTATAATAATACTCTTGTCATACATTAATGATTGATAATCTTATAAAGAAAATATTGCAATTACTTAGAAAATAAGAGAACATTATTTCATAGAATCATCAAAGAATCATCAAAATTAATTAACATTAGATAAATCAATGTTGAATGCTGTTATAACTGGAATGATTAAAAATGTCAACTGGTATTAGTTTAAAAATTATGTTTTTTTGATAAAGTTTTGGGCAGTAATATTTATTTGAATTATACAATTGAGCTCAATTAATTAAAACCTATACTATGGAATTAAGAATAAATTTGCATACTTTTAATAGATATTTACAAATTAATATTATTACTCGAATACTGTATACAAACTCAAAATATTACATAATCAATGGTCGAATAGGATGGTAAACTAAATAATTAAAACTATAGTAAAAAAAAAATATATATGTATATATTATTATTACAAATGTGTCGTACATACACATTATTGGTAACAAGTTTGACTGTCGCAGTTTCATCACAACTAATGTTCAAACGAGATTATAACCAATTAATGCAAACTTGGTCGAATAATAGCAGTCAATTAATAGTAATAATATGATTTTATACACATTATGGCACTACTCGTTTCAAAATAATCCTTTTTTCTTGGTCTTTTTTTCTTTTCCATCAGTGGTTCTGTAATAAAATGACATATAATATTAAATTAATTAATTCATGAACAATTTAAATGTAATTAAAATGTAAAAGAAATTATATCACATACTCTCTTTCTAATGATCGTCTCCTCAGTTCATCGAGACTGATACCGCTGCTAGATTCCCATTCCCTAATTTCTATTTCAAGTTGCCTGCGTCTTTCATCCAATTCACTAGCTTCAGATTCTAATCTTTTCAACATTTGTTCATTCTTTTGCTGCAACTGTAAATTCAATAAAAAATATTTTAACATTTTAAACTTAACTTAATATTAACAAAATAATACTTACAGCAATTTCTGAATCTTTAAGTTTCTGTTTTTTTTCTTTAACTTTCATCTCAAACACTTGCTCCATTTCAGTTTCCATTTTCTTAAGTTTGGCATCATGATCACGTTTTTCATCTTCCATTTGAGCTAAAGGATTCCTAATTTCAGCAATTAAAAACAAAATGTTGTGTATTCAGAAAAAACTGAAAAGGTGACCACACTATTTACAAAATGTATTAAATTAATTTAATTAATTTGTTAAAAATTCATTAGGCTAATTTTTGGATGAGGGAGAAATCATTTTTTCATATTATTAACTGAAACTTACCAAACGGCAACGAAGGAATTGTTGATTGCTCCTGGGGCGCACGAGCTGGACCAATGTGTAAGAAAATAATAATAATTTTTTTTTAAATTTATTTTTACAAATATATTCAGTAATATGGCTGTAGTAAAAATGCATAAAAACACTAAATGCTATGTACTACAAAAATCTAATATAATCATTTCTTTTGTCTCATTTACAAAGATATAATTATTTTTAAGTACTATTTATGTGAAAAATCATACTATGGTAGCATTAATAAAATTTTAACTTCATTTAACAAATTTTGTTTAAAAAATAATAAAATTAATATTATGTTTTATAAATAAGGCAACTGTTTTTAGTTAAGATTGCTCTTCTTTTAGTAAAAAGGTTACACTGAAAGGTTAGTTGTTACTTTATAACTTAGAAAAACAAATGTCTTTGTTTTTAATTTTCTTATGAAATTAGAAAAATTGTTTTGTAAAATTTAACCTATTTATCTAACTATAAATATCATATTTTAACCAGAGACAAAAAAAAATTGTTGGTTTGAATAGCAACAAAACACATGCAAAATACAAATAAATAGCAAACAAAATAAAACAAATTAAAAATATTTCGTTTGAGAATCTAAAGTAATATAAAATATAATTCTGTAACTATTGCAATTTTTTCAGGGTCTCATCCAAAAATCAGCCAGTTAAATGAGAAACAGATATTATTTGCATATTTAGAAGATAGGATATATTCTAGAATATTAAATGGGACACAAACTGCAACCTTAAGGCTATCAAACTCACTGATTTAAAAATCATAGTATATTTAACTCACTTTGTCATTCCTTTAGGTCCATCAGCTGAGAAGCAAGCCAACTTTCTAAATCTAAAGTTCTCATAATGCACATTACTAGTTACTTCTTTAAGATCTTGTAAATGTGTTCTCAATAACATATTTCTTAAGGCAACAAAATCACAATGATCAAGATTTTCCACTAATATTCAATACAAACAAAATTAATATCATATTTAAAATAAATAAATTTATTTCACTAATACTAATTACCTTCAACTAGACCCCATGGATACTTTCGACCACGAATTTTTTTACCATCTACTTCATGAACTTCAGTTGACCCAACCACAGCAAATGGTACTCGGGCTTTAAGCTTTTTCAAATTTTCTCGATCTTCTTCTTTATCAGAGTCAGGGAAGTCATAAATTTTAATTTTATGCTGAGCAATCTCTTGTAAAATCTAGTAAATAAAAAAAATGTTAATCAAACAAGTCAAATAATATCAATCATATAAAAATAATTTTACTTGTTTTTTGTACTCTGTAACTTCATCTGGAGTCATGGTGTCTGCTTTTGAAATAATAGGTATTATATTAACTTTGTCATGAAGTCTCTGCATAAATTCTACATCTAATGGAGTCATTCCATGAGTATTTGATTCCAAAAAATATAAACAACAATGCACACGACTATCATGTTGCAACTTTCTATTGACTCTAGATTCAGCATTTAAGAATTCTTCATACCTATCAATTCATAAATTTATATCCATTATCATAATTCATAAGAGTTACTTTTATAAGAGCCAACATAGAATTTTTATTAATTACCTTGATTCAATATATTCAAGAACTGGTTGCCAACAATCTGAATTATCAACAGCATCACCAAATCCTGGAGTATCTACTACTGTAAGTGAAAGATTTACACCCTTCTCTTTCAATAGACATCTATTGGTTTCCACTCTAACTGTTTTACCAACACGTAGAGATGGACCAGGATGGTCTTTTCCATAAATATCAGCCAAGAACATGGTATTAATTAAAGTGGACTTTCCAAGACCGGATCTACCTATAATCATATTCAAAATATGATAAAACTTCAAATATACATACATCTCATATAATTACTATAAAAAATTAAAAAATAATATAATAATGATTAATAAAAAACTTACCAACAACCATGAGAGTAAACTCAAAACCTTTCTTTACAGCTTTACGGTATACTTGATTAGGTAAATTAGCAAATCCAACATAGCCATCTAATTTTTTTACTTTTCTATCGTTAGATTTTCCAGTCACTGATTGATCTGTTTTTAATAGTTTTTCTTTATTTTCTGTAGGCTCTGTTGATGACTCGGCTATAAATTTAAAAAAAATATTATTCCATTTCAACTAATAATAAGTAAACACATTTTACTCACATTTAACTGGAACACGTGGTAAATTCATTGGTGCAGTTGGTGGTAAATTTGTACTGATATTGGTTTTTATACTAGTTACAGAGTTTTGATGAGGCATTGGAGGAGTTGAATTGGCATTTGACTGAACAGTTGGCTGAGTTCCAGAGTTTGTATTGTTTGACGATACGTCATTCTTAAAGAATAACTCGCGTTTACTTTGCAGCTAAACAAATATTAAAAATTAAAATTAAATAAAAACAAATAAATTAGCAAATTATTATAAAATTTTGAAAAACTTTATAATCAAATGTCATACAATGCTCAAATAATTTTAACATTTAATCGAATTTAGATAATTAATTTTGAAATACCTATATATAATTGACAGTACTTTACTTATTTATACATAAATAATACCATTGGTTTTAGTATATTCTAAAATTCTTAATACCAATATATATGCATACTAACCATATAAATTAATTATTTTCTGAATAATTATGAAAAAATCATTATGTTAAAGGAAATAATGTGTGATTATAAAAGTAATATACATTTCCAAAAACCAACAATTAAAATCAAATGTATTATACCGTGATTAAAATGTACAGCTAAATGACACCATTAAACACGCTTATTTCATTAAAAAAATTACAATTCCTTAATTAAATTAAATTAGTACCTAAACAAAAAAAATAGAAAAAATATGGATGCAAAAATAGCAAACAGCCATAATTATTGTTCTAACATAAATATTTATAAAACGTAATAATAGGGAAGTAGGTAATATTAATTATTATTCAAAAATAATAGAAAATATACCTAACTATAATAATAACCACCGCAAAATCAGTAACAAAATATTGTTACACATTGAATAATTATTGTATTATATTATTAAATTAAAGTAAAAGGCATTTGACAGTTTATTTATTCGTGCAATATTACAATGACAGGCAGAACCTAGATACGATACACACTAACTTTCCGTATATTACGCGAGTCAAATTATTTCATAATTTATTAATCAAACTCAACTTATTTATAACATCAAAACACATAATTATGATGTACCTGGAGTAGTATATAAATTACTCTTACTTTAATACGAGTATTTATGTGGTAGTTCGATTGAAATAATTTTACCATTAAAATATAATTTAATACATAATGTATTATAAAATGAAAATGAAATGAGACATATAAAAATAGTTAATACTCTAGTCCAGTTAAAATACTAACAAATGTGTCTAAAGAAAATAAATAAATACCATTTAATATAAGATCAAATATTTAAACACGAATAATTATGTTTAAAAGTAATGCAAATCAAATTATCGAACAATATATACATATACCAAAACACCATTTTTTCAACCTGGTTTAATTAATCTAATTAGCAATAAAATAAATTATTAACCATCAATAGTTTAAAATAAAACTTTTTTTTCAATCTCCATATAAAAATATAGTTAATTGGTTTAAAAGAAATTATTCATTTTTACCAATAAAAGTATTATCCTTAACAGCCCAAACTCATAAAAATAAAAAGTATGTATTAAATTTAGTGAGTTTACGTAGTTGTTCAACTCAATAACGTTTTCAATAGCATTAAAAATCACCTACCTAAGTTATCCCAATTTAATAATCTAACATTCTTATATTCTAAATCATTCATAGTATTTTTGGACATAATTTAGTTACATTAAGATTTAATGTGTTAATTACTGTTTAATATTTGTACGCTTACATCATCACACATTGAACCGAGTATTTAACAGAGAAGCAAACACACGAAATAAGAATAATTATAAATTCAAAATATTTACATTACCTAATATATAACAATTATGAGAATAGAAAAAAAAAAAATCTTCAATAAAAACTAATATGACAATGGAAACTTTTTATTAGTAAAAATAATGCATTCATTTAATTTAATGCAGTAAAACATATTTTTTTATATAAATAAATTTTATGTAAATAAATTGTACAACCAATATAATTTATTTGTAAAGATAAATTAATTTGTTCTTAGATAAAATGTACGAAGAGAAAAAAAATTAGTGACTACTTTTTACTATTTTATTTGAAAACATTTTTATGAAAATTTAATAATTTAAAAATAAATAAGTAAATAAAACATTAATCTAAAATACCAATGATATTTATCAAATTCCAATATCAGATGATGGATTATTATTATTATTATTATATTATGGCTCTTTAGACAGATTTATTTTTCATTATAACATAATTCAAACTTTATCTTTATTTAATACATTAGGGCGTGGTTAATATTATAATTATAGCGTGATGACGCAATGTATACAGAGGAGCAAGAGTAAACAGAACACATGTGAAGAAATATTAATAAGGGTAAAATATCAAGAAACCTAGGTGTGACTAAGTATAGTTGACATTTTCTAAATTTCTTACATTTCTTAGATTTTTCAAGCACTTATAAAAGTATGTACAACAAAAGACGGCAAAATAAGTCACATATATTGTAATGGTTTAATTATACAGGACTGTAACTGCATACTTTATATATTATGTATTTATATATTATAATATTATAATACGCAGTCAACAAAATTGCCTACACAGTTAAGCATGAAATATAATATTAAAACGAACTAAAAAAATAGTTAAAATAGAGTAGAAGTTAAGAAATTAAGTATAAGTTAAAAACTAAATGATTTTTTTTATATGATTGAACATAAATAAATGTTAATTTAAGATATTTAGACATTCTTCTTAACGATGGCAAATAATATTTATTTTGAGCAATTAAAAATTACAACTATTCCTTTGCTCGAAATCCTCGAAACTGGTCTACAGATTTCATTAGTTTAAATTCTATAAAAATAGTAACTTATACATTTATAAGATATATGTACCATGTAAAACTGATAAATAAGTGTCAGGTTAGGTGTTCTGTTGTATTAAATTATGAAAAATATTTGAGAACAAAATATATTTATAAAAAGGCTACAATAGTTAACAAACATATTAGATGTAATCACGAAAATAAACAACACGTGGTAAAACAGCGATAGGATCAAGGTTAAAATGAAATAAGCGGACTGCATTGAGAACGGTTGGATATTAGTCAGCTGTCGTTGCCATGGTGACGCATGGTTGTAAAGTACGATCGATTTTTCTCCCCTGGAAAAGCAACCAAAATCAACAATATCGCAGAGCCCTCTGTAGTTTTTTTTTTATTCGAAGGTCAGTACTCGGTGTGCTCCCTAGATCAAATTTTAAAACTCCTACATTAAACTAACCTAAGACTTAGAATTGTGTATATTATTAAAAAATTATTATTTTTATAGTATTACATAATAAAGTAATATAAATACACAACGAGAATAGTAGCTTAATAAAATAAATAAATCGAGATTGATTATATATAGGTACCAAAATGAATGATTAATAAAAACTGGTATTTCATGGGTTTAGTTTTGCAAATAGATTTTCAAGTTTTCTTTAATACATTTAAACACTAAAGTATAAAAAGTATGTAAAGAAACTTTTAAGTACAGAAAATACCTACAGCTAACGAGAATATAGCAATTGTTTGGTACAAATAACAAATATATTAATCAAAACGTTTACACATCTGTTAAAATTAGTAAATGGTAACAGTTATATAAAATACTTGTATGCACATTAAATATCCCAACTTGGACACTAAACAAATCTGACAGACCATACACATCGATTTGTTTTGAATTTATGCGTCACGTACAAACTGTTAAAATATGTGTTTAAAATTTATGTTTTTTCTATCTCTCTTATAAGTACTCACGCGTTTATTAAATGTAACAGAAAAAAGAACGATAAAACCATATGACACGTTGCATGTTACAGAATTGCACAATATATAAAATACAATAGTATGCCAAAAGTGTGCGTTTCCTCCTAAACAAAATTAAATTTGCTAAGAGGTTATTGAATAACTCAAAGAAGCCATATTTAGATTAAAAATTGCATACCGCTGCAAACATAGCAAATGATGTGTCTATACTAGTATAAAAATATAAAAATACTATTTCCAGATTTAAAATTTACAATAGTCGTCATAAAAAATACTATTGTTAATTACTACCAATTGAAGAAATATACGAAAAAACTTCATAAAAACTTGCAAGAATGTAAACAAAGGATAATTAAGAAAACCGTAAAAAACTAACAACTTAAGTTGAGAAAAATATTAAAAATGTAATTATCATAAGTTAAAACACTCAAAAAGTAAGTTCTTTAAATTAAATTAATTACGTACAACGGAAGATCAATATACAAAATCCGATAGCGCTTAAATAAAATTGTCGAGGTAATAATTTACGTATTAAACAACAACAGATATTTTTTATATATAAGATTAATATTAAATTGAAATAAAAAAGAATGGTTAAGATTAATTGAAGCTTTAAAGGTTAATTTTTAAGAAAAAATTAAATTACTAAAACATTTAAAACTTAAAAACATTCCGATTTCGTATAATTCGTAATTGTTTATCATACACTACTACATTAGCGAAATTTATATATATATACAGAGTGAGCCACGAGAAATGGGACTATAATAGATAGACATAACTCAATATATTTACTGTATATTACCGTAGATGTAAGAATATTTTAATAATATCTTAATATATGTAAATAAATGCCATTTCATTTTTTTTTTTTAATCAGGCATATGGTATCCATCTTTTTTATATGCATGAAGCAAGTTGATCCTAAAAATTTGAATGAACATACTGAAATAATTCTTTATTAATTATAGAAATTTCCATTCCAATTGTATCCTAAGGTCATTCGAGGTACGAGGTTTCGATACATAAACATATGATTTAAAACATCTTCAAAGGAAAAAGTCATATACCGTCAAGTCAAATAACGTAGGGGGTTAATGCATATCCCCAAAACGTGAAATGAAGCGACCGTGAAACATCTTACGTACGACGTTCATTGTGGCGGTGGCAATGTGAGAAGGTGCCTCATCTTGTTGAAACCAAACATTTAAGGGATTGATGGTTGGCCTTATTCTGCGCAACTCTGCTCTCAAGAAATTATTAGGCTTGTCTACGTAACGGTCACTATTTACAGTCAAAGTGTTTCTTTATTCTTTATAAAAATAGGGACCAACGACTAACTTTTTTAAAACAGCACACCAAAAAGTTACTTACCCTCCACTGTGTCACGGTGATAACTAAACCACATAATTAACTTTCTTCTTTCAATAAAAAACCCATCTATTTTTGGTCCTGTTTCCATGGTCCACCCTGTATACATGACTTCACTTTTGTAAATGTATTTACCCACGCCCTACGTAAATACTAGATAATATTTAATGAGTGAGAATAGTGTCTTTTTTAATTTAACGTAAAATTGTTATGGCTTCTTAAGTCTAAAGTGTAAATATGTTTTTTTATCAAAATTGTTAAAATAATAAGACATTTTATATTATATACTAAAATTAAATAATTATATATATTAAGGGGATTTACACTCCAATCCCCTTAATATTTAAATCGTCCCCTAGGAGACCAAGACCTACAAAAAGCAAAGCTCATTTTTTTTTTTTAGGGATAACGTCAAATTTATGAACTAATTAACCATTAAAAATACATTTAACAGGATGATCAAAAATTGGAATAAATGCAAATAAGTGAAAGTTATTTTTACGACTTTAAAAGCAATTCATAAAATTAATTTAAGTCATAATAATTTATAACAATATCAATCATAATAACAAGTATAATATTGTTATGGGTTTAAGAATGTTGTGAGAATGAGATGAATTGAATTACAACACATCAAAAATCGTTCATAAATATCTATAATTTAAACTTTTAACTATGTAAACAAAACAATTACGATTATTAAAATACAATCTATAGTAACACGAATGTTATCATGTGCATGAAATTCTATATAAAATCGTGTTAATTCTTTAATAAATCTAAGAAAAATAAGATCTAATTATTTTTCAGAGGCATAAAAAATGCATGTCACGGCTGTCTTACAATAGTTACACGTTCAATCAAATTAATAATACATTTTAATCATAAGATATTCATAGGAATAATTACATAATTTATTTTTTTTTAATTAAAAATATTACAATAATATGAAATTTAAGATTTATGCGTACTATGCACAAGAAAATAAACCTTACAAAATGTACCTAATGCTTCTAATAACTTGAAAATATTTTCAAATTAGTTAAATTTTATTGATATAAAATAGTGTATAAAATATTCATTATCATTAATAAGAATTATAATGAGATTTAACCATAAAAAAGTAAACAAAATACAAAACAACCGTAGCAATTAAATATACTAACTCACGCAATAATTTTAAATATTTCGTCTTATTATTATCATAAACGTTTGAGATAAAACCATTAAAGTATACAAAATTTAAATTACTGAGCATTTCATAAATGGCAATTGATAAATAAAAAATAATAATTCATTTATTGGGAAATGTAATCATAGAATTTGAATAATTTGTTAAACCAACAAATTTAAATACAATAATAATAGAAAAAAATGTTTGAATGAAAATAATAGTTAAGTTAATTTGAATTGAAAACTAATGGAGTACAATTTATGGTTGAGTCCATTACAACCCATTGGTCATAAATTCCTAAATTATTGCTATTTACCGATAGCCAATTGTTTTTATAAACATAAATATTAAATAATAAATAATAATTAAAGTTAGTTATTATTTTATAAATATTTATTCACAAATAAAATATATAAAATTTATATATAAGTCGAGAAAAAATATCTGCATATATTAAATTATGAAACCCTTTAAAATTGCAATAGTTGGAAGAGTTCAAAGTAATGATTACAAAAATCAAAAACTTAAGTGTTTTAATTTCTAGACAGTAACTGATGTTTTATAAATGTATTTAAATTATTTATAAACCTTGCATTTAAATAGTTTACGTAATATTTAGATATTTAAAACATTTGAAGTCCGGACCGAATATATAGTTATTATCGCCTTAAAATAGAAAACTATCCAGAAATATATTGATGATTTAAAAATAATCATAAATTTAACTGAATTTATCAAACTAACCTTGTAATCAAAGATTATTTTTACGGCTATATAAAAACTCAATTATACAGCGATGAATCAATACTTTTTCATAAGAAAAACACGTGTGACTCAACCGGTTTACTGTCATACCACTGTGTTTAATGTTATAGGAAGATCTAGTTGCCGTCGCATCGTAGTGAAAGCTTTGGCGATATTGTGAAAAGGTCGCGTAATATTTCTTGGCGGGTATATTCATACAAAAATTTGAATGAAATTTAAGAGCAAATTAAAAAATTATATTGAAGAACCATCATATTGACTGCAGCTTCGAGGTAAAAATAATATATCAAGTAGACTGACCGAGATTTCACGTGGGTACGTATAATAAGAACATAATCACACAATGAATACAAGTACACAACACATCTTTTATTAATCGATGCGGTAGGAAATTTCCTTAAGGCCGACCAACGTGTCACCGCCGCAAACAATGTAAACGAATTGGTTGAATACACACGTCGACGAATAACTATACATGTACTTAGACTGGTCAGCAGCGGACCACTATACTGCATTGAACATTATTGAACTTAATTATAAACAAAAAATATAAATTTAAAAGAAAAACCATATTTTTGTAAAACACTTGTCGAAATACAGGTGGTAAATTATTAAATTGTACGCGCTATGTAATATTGGCCAATGTCTATAATATAGAAACAACTGCATGTCAATTATTGAAACATAACACACACACAAACATACATATGGCACTTCAAGCAAAGTAACAGTCAAATGACGAGTTGGAGTAAAAAGTATATTATTTAGATATACGACACAAGGCGAACGTCCGTAATAACAACCGTTAATAAACACAATCTATAATTGTCGTGCGTTGGAGGGATTGAGAGAAATAGAGAAAAAAGCATTTGACAGGTTTCTCAAGGATTATTCCATCTGGAATTAGTACATGCTACGTAATATTATCCGAATATATACGAGTATATATATATACATAATATTATGAAAAAGTGCAATGTGCGTTTATATTATTTTTCATAACTAAATGAGAAACCACACTTCTACTGTTTTTCGAGATCACGGCCTCTAAAGTGTTATCGAATTCTACTTCCTACATGTTTTGTTATTGTTGCACTACACACATAAAAACGATAATAATTGTTATCTATTGCAGTAGTATGTACACCATTAGTTTGTTAATTGTAGATATCAATAAAAACCATCGACGATAACACGCATTGTCAAAATAATTGCCGACAGTACTTCCTGGGAACATACAACTGCCTTAAGCAATTAATATCGCCAGTAAACTGCGATTTACTGATCGGCGATCAACGTCAATGGAACGCATTTAAAGAAAAAACTAATCTACGGTGACACATAAGCACATGAGTGGCCGAAAACGATAAAGACCGCAGAAGTGATACAAGTTATCTATACGACTTCTTCCGAAATGAAACTCGGCAGAGAATATTTTCTACAAAATCAATGGTAAAACATTATACCAATCATTAAAATCGACTGGCAGGGAGCGGTACCTCTAAACCCCGCGGGGGAAGGAAGAAGGGCGTGGAGATTAAAAACGAGAAGTTTGCGAACTTTCGTGAGAAAAAATGTCACACTAGTTTAAGTGGAGAAAAAAAACGGATGTGCGACCTAGAACAACAATGCTTGCCTTGGTTCCGAGCACGGGTTTGGGCGCGGTAACGGGCGGCGGCGGTCCCCCCGTGGAGGTGACCGCCGGCGTCGGCGGCGGCTGTTCATCGGCCGCGTTTGGCGGCGGCGGCGGTGGCGGTCCGCCCTGTTCGAAGATCCGCTGTCGCTGGGCCAGGCGTTCCATGCTGGCCAGCCGGTACGCGGCCGCCGCACTCGGGGTGTACGATTTGGGCAGAGTCGGCGGAGGCGTCGGTTTGGCCACGCCGCCGTTATCGCCGTTCATCATGTCGCGCTCGTCCGACGAGAGACTGGGGGCACCGGGACGGTCCGCGAAACGTGGATGGAAAACCGAGTGCGACGCGGCGGGGGATGACGGCGGTGGGTGCAGCGTCGGCGGCGGCGGAACGAACGACGTTACCGAAAGAGAACACGTACACGGAACACACGCCGCGCGGACGACGGTCAAAGGAGTGTCCCGCGTGTGCGTGACGACGGTTCGCGTTGGGGACGAAACGGGCGCACTCGGGGGGTCGCACACGTCGATCGGATCACCGGAACACCGGTCTGTACGTACGGACGGCGCGAACGCGATCTTCTAACTGCACGCACACACCCGCTGGCCCGCCGACGATCGCTCGAGAAACGGCGGCGGCGGCGGCGGCGGCGGCGGTACACACCGGCTACGTTCGCGCGCGCCGCCAGATGCCCCGGTCGCAGTGTTACCAGTACCGGTGGCGCGACGTGGTATGCAATAAAAAAAAAAAAAAAAAAAAAAAACATAATTCACCCGGTCTCACGGATTTTTCTAGATGTATAATTATTATTATTCAAATAAATCACAAACATCATTCAATACGTTACGGGGTATAGGCCGCATACCGTTTCGCAACGAAAATATTAACGATCAAGTGATCCTCCTCGCGCACAACTTTGGCTACGGCGTCTAAATAATTTATCACTAATTCCGGACGTATTCAATGCTGATCAAAAAATTATTTTTACTGTGAAAAACTTATCGAATAGTGCCGAAAATCTAATCAACCAGGGACTAAAATTATGTGTAGTACGTAATTAAAAATTGTGTGTTGTGGTTCTGTTCTCTATATTATGGTATTTGTTTTTAATTTTACATTATTTTATTAAATTATCTTATATATTTTTAAAACTCCAAGATATATCATCAGCAAAATCTAAAATACCAACTATTTCAACTGCGTTACTCATTGCTGTTAACGTCTGAAAGGGGAGTATGACAAAATCCTTAAGAGTGCAGTACGAAAAATGACATATTTTAACCTCTGTAACTAATAAATTATTAAATATCATATCAGAAAATTACTTGGCAGACGAACTAGATAGAATATTTTAAAAACAACAGCTTTAAGGTTTCGACCAAAATAAATAAATAAATTAATTAAAAACTTCTCTCACTTCTAGCAAGACACATAATTAATTCAGAACGAAACACTTTATCGTTGAACACTAAAATTATTTATCATCAATAAAAATACCGATTGTAATAGAGTACAAAAGAAGTTGAAGTGCCTGTATAAAGAGGAATAACACTATATCCAATTTTAATTTACGAAAACATATTTTGAATGTAAACATTTAAAAACGTTTATTTGATGCCTATATTATTGGCAATAAATAATAATAAATGTAGTTCGTTTAAAATAACTGTTATAAACTATGAATATTGGATTATAATGGAGGCTTACGAATCATTTTTCAATGGTCATGAGCTTATATTAAAATAAATCAAAACTTACCTCTACATTAAAGCAAATCATATGATCAACCATTTTTAGAAAAGAATGGTATGATAAACAACTGATAATATACCAATTCACTTGAACGAAAAATTGGTTTGTGATAAACTGAAATACAACAAATGACTGAGAGCAAAACGCAGCTGTTTTAGTTATAATTCTAAAATCATGAAAGATAATTATAAAATATAACTTATTGTTAATTATTTTACATAATACATGAATACTAATAGAATAAACTAAAACTTATTTGATGATAAATTAAATTTATTAACAAATAAACTAGTTTATGCAGCAGAGACACGAAAACACAGTCACTCTACAAACAAAAATGTTAAAAAATGACGATAATTTTTTAACAATTACTTTGTAAATAATATTGAACAGTAGATGACTAATTTTCGATCAATATCATACATTTATACAGTAATTAATTTCATTAAATTAGTTATTATCAAATGACTCACTTAGTCAATAAACTAGATTGAAAAAACGTCAAGAAATGTTAAACATGTTTCTTTCCTACTACGAAAATTGGTATTAGATAATTTAACATTTTTGATAAGTATAAGTAATTCCAAGTTTAATAATTGACTACCATAATTTTATAATAATTTAAATAGCTTTAAAATGTAAAACGAAAATAAACACAGATTAAACTGATAAAACAAAATAATAGTTGATAAACCCGTAATTCAGTCCAAATTTAAAAATAACACATTTTTATGATTTTTAAAGCTACTGTTATTTTACTTCTTTTTAACGCAATAAAATATAAGATAAGACACAAATAAATCATTCGTACTTTCTTTTTCTAATAATAATGTTATTAATTATGACAAATAAATAATAATATATTAATTGAATAAAATCCATTTGTAAGAACGATTAACACTACAAAATTTCAAATCCTAATTTTTATATAAATAATTTAATTTACAAATTTACCATTCATTAAAGTACTTTATTTTTAAAATCAATCAATACGGCGAGAAAACTCGGTTACAATAAATCAACTAAAATAAGTTTACTTCCGAATTATAAAAATAAACCAGTTACCAGTTGAATAGACGAGTTGTCTCCAAAGGAAATACGATTTCGATAAGGCAATTTATATTCCGAAGGGACGACTATTGCTAATGGTATAATAATGACTCATACTTAATAACTTTAGATAACATTTCATTAGATTAAAATAACACAGTTTTGTCATTAACATTAAATAAATATTACATGAATGATAATTACATTTATATTATAAATAACAAAAAATGTTTGTCGTTGTAATTTTCAAGAATTTTAGGACTAAATAATTAAAACTATTAATTCAGATAATTGATTCAAATTGTTTACAATCTAAATAAATATAACAATAAGCTAATAAACAAATATCAATAAAATAAAGATGTATTACAAGTGTCCAATGATATTACTTCAGAATGAATAAACACTTATCAAGGAAAATTAAATATTTAAAACAGTTAAATTGATGAATGATGATGTTAAAGACATTATAGACTTTAAAACTGTCTTACTATAAGTATTTAAATTCTTAACTTAAAGTTATATTTTATGTAAATAATTAAGTTTATTTTTCAAATTACAAATAAATATATAAATTAAGAATTTTTAAGAACAAATATAATATATATAATTATTTCTAAAATTAATGTTCTGTATCATAAATATATATTAGTGTATCTGATCGTAAAAATATACAACCTAACCTATATAATGATTGTAATCATTAATTTAATTCATTCTCGTCCTCAATTCGAAATAAACCATTTTCGTTCATTACAGTAAATTGTATTGAATAACAGACCACTTGCATACATAAAAATGAAAAACTATCAAATTTAAATTATCACTAATACCGCCATTAAGTAAAATTAAATAAAAAAATTAACCAACCGTAACTAGGTGTGACATGAATGTAATTACTCACTCTCATCAGAAAAAAAATTATATAGAGTTGTCATATGAAGTAATTAATTTTATCAATTCTAAAATTTAACTATTCATTAATAACAAAATTATTTTAAAATCAAATTCTAAGCTAAGATTTAAAATTAATCTAAACATCTTAAGTTCATTAAATGATCAATAATCTTCATGATTTTTTGCAGTAAGAAAACATGTAGATAAAAACAAGATTTATTATAATTTATTAACTTGACTGAATAATTAATCATACCATTACTTATCCAACACTATATATTATTTGATAAAGAAAAATTTAATTACTCAATATTCTAAGAAACTTAATTATTTTAAAATAATCTTACATACAAATTAAAACTTACTATACTAAAATATAGTTAACAACAATATACAAAAAAGACGTATGGTATGAGCTTTATTTTTATCAGAAGTACTGATGTTTATGAGTTATTAACTTTTAAATTAGGGATAAATTAAATTAAAATATATTTATAAATAATTTATAAGTACCTGATTGTTTTAATAAATTTTAAAATCTTCATTCAATAAATTAGATTAATTAAATGTTTTTACTTTATACTATAATTATGTACTACATATATTTCAAATATTAAAAAAATAAAACAATATTCATAACAATACCGTAACATACTCGATAAGTATATATTTCTCATAATTCAAAGAAATGTGTATTTATAATTAATAGACAATAAAATTAATTGATGAATGACCATAAAAAAAAACCAATCATCAATAATTAAATAAATATTTTACATACATACAATTAAACATATGTTATAATTACTAAATAAATACAATACTCACCAAATAGTTATCTTTTAGATACCCTATATAGACCTATATAGAGACTTTTGATATCATAAATTTAGGAATATTCCAAAATAATAGACTGTCTGTCTAGATCTCTTTTTCCAAAAGAGTAATTTAAAATAATACCTTATACATTGTAAGACATATGAAATATGAGCATCAAATCTATTATATTTATGATATGCAATTATATTATAAACTAAAAGGTATTGAAAGCTAGATGCAATGACAAATATTTGTATGTTATTATTAGGGCTGGGATTTTGATGCACTTTGCATTTTTTTCTAAAGCTTTCTTTACGATGCTCATTTTGTTACAAATATGTTTTAGGTATTTTTAAATTTGAGCAAGATATTTTATTTTGCATTTTTTTGCATTTTATAACATTTTTTTATTTAAAGGTGATTTTTTTCATTTTTAGGGCATTTTAAGGGTTATTAAGTCATTTTAGGTGTTTTTTAATATAAAATTATAGATTATACATTTTTTCTACTGAACGATTAGTGTTGTTGTGTAAGGTATGCAATGTAAAAAATGCTGTTGAAAAACTTTTTGCCATACAACAACATATATCAAGAGCAAACATATTATTGGGGTACAACGAAGAGAACAACAAATTGAAGAACAAGAAAAAAATATGTACTACCTGTATATCTACAAAAACTTATTGGGGAACAACATGAGGCACACTCTAGTGATTTATTGTAACAATAAAGAATATTTTTTTATTTATTAATATATGAAGTGAAATAAAATATTTATGTACAGGTAATGTATTTTTTTTAAATTTTAAAGGCATTTTTTGAGTTTTTTTAATTCATTTTTGCATTTTTTTAAGGTCATTTTTCGCGATTTTTAAGGACATTAAAATCACAGCCCTAGTTATTATAAATCGATGGCAATACTTACAGCTGCACGGATTTTTCAGCAATAATTTTGATGGCCAATGCACAATTCACAACAACCACAAAAACAACAGATTCACAAACCAAAACAGGGTGGAACATGGGAAAACAAAAAATAAACAAATAAATAAAAATATTAGAAAACAAATAGGTATAAAATACGTAAAATTAATAAACAAAAAAAAAAAATGATTTAATGGACGGTATCAACAGTAGGTACCTTACAACGTGTGCGAACAGTGTCATAAATAATGGTTCGTGCAAGACTACAGAAATACAAATAATAATATATAATAATATGATAGAAAAACAAACAGACCGAACAACCACTACCCAAGATGCTGTCGCGCGAAGTGTCGTTGCGAAACGCAACGTTTGCAGTACGATTCCGACACCGGAATCGCAGCGACAGCATTAGCACACACGGAGAGAGAAACACAAGCACCGTCTTATACTACACGTCGACAACAGCGGTCGGTCTCGCGTCCCTAAAAACGCAGACGTCATGTGACGGCGGTGAGAACGGAATAACAAAAAATTATGTACGTGCGGCGACGGCTGAGATTCGATGTACTCAGCGCTTCTCTGCATGGTGTGGCGGCTGCCGACGACGATGATGACGAGAGCGGCAACGACAGCTACGAGTTGCGGCGAGAGCGGAACAGAATTTCAATGAAAAGAAATCAGACGACGCGGAGACGAGAGAAAATTTAAAATTTACGTACTATCAACAGGAACAACGGACGGGATGCGGTAAAAAACAATAACACGATCTAGGAAGAGGGCGTTGGGGTGAGGTGCAACCGTTACGCAGGCCGGCGGGACGCGGGGCGACGGCCATGGAAAGAAAAAGGTGGTCGATTTTCCAATGACGGTCTCGTCAACGGCGGCGGCGGCGAAATCAATATTCAATCCACGTTTCAATTTCTCTCTTAAAGATGGTATGAAATTGAACGTCTAACCACGGACAACAAGAGAAAATTTCCAATTTTTCTCGCATCGCAGCCGGCCGCCGACGTTAGTTTTCATTACGTTTTTAAAAGAAATTCCTTCTAGGTTATGATCTAACCCCGCTCCTGGCCGATTATTCCATGACAATAAGTACTGATAACGATTACGACCTGATAACGTCGTCCACAAAGAACATTAAACGCAAATTGTAGGTATTCGTTAAATACGTCGAGTCCGGTTTTCAATTCGTATCATGAACGGTTTACGATTATTTAGACGATTTGCTGGAAGTGTGAATGCCGTAAATGCTCGTTCCACGAGTGAACACGCTATTGTTGTCACCGACGACGCCTCGACCATAGTATGTTACCATCCCGAGAGACAGTTCCCGTACGAATGCACTAAACCATTACCAAAGGAAAAAGTGTTGGACAACTCAGTGTTACGAGTTCAGAACAAAGAGTTTATACACGAGGTATTTAGCAAGCCCAACAGTGAACTAGTTCAACAGGAATTGATGAAAATGACGTTCACCACCAAACATCGATGGGTACCACCTAAAAAATGGAAAAGACGATTTGCTCATCCAAAAATTGTAGACCGTCCATACTTGTAATCTATTTTAAAGTTTATTATTTTTTAAAACATACTAGTTTTATATTTTGTAGTACAAAAGATATTATTAAAATTGTTTTATGATTATTACATTAAATATAAATTGTACAATAAGTCTTCATATTTTCATTTTTTCTACTTCCAACTGTAACAGAAAAAAATCTTATTAACAATTATTCAATTATTATAGTTTATAATATTATAATTACCTAAGCAAGTCTGTTAAAGATGGAACAACTGGTGGAATTGTTTGACACACTTTTGGTTGATTAGACGGTTTTTTCAATTTTAAATTACGATGTTGAGGGAATGTAGGCATTAATTTTGGATCACAAGCTAAAAATAATAAAAACCAACTGTTAATTGACAAATTCTTTTACAAAAAAAAAAAGACTCATAAACAAAATAATTTATCAAAAGAATATCTACAAAAAGCATAATACCGGACAAGAAAATAACTAATTTTTAAAGATATTTATTTTTAAATGTGGACAAATTTACATTCAACTAAAAATGGTAAATACTGCAATATCAAATTTAGATATAATTTTTAATATTGGAAAATATTTAATAACTCAAGTATATAATTACGTAATGGTGGTTCCACAAAGTATGAGCTTTGAAGACATTCTTCGGCTGTTGCTCTTCTGCTAGGTTCATACATGAACAAAAAGTTTAAGAGTCGAATACCTGCATCTGATAGCCAAGGGAATCTACAAAAATGTTGCAAAAAAATAAAATTTTATAATTAATTATTACATTTAAAAATGTTATCTTACTTTGGTCTGATATTATTATATGGTTGAGGTCTCAGTGTGAAGTTTTTTAGTGCCGGTAGTGTATCAATTTCAGGCCAAATAGATGCATTAGGAGTACCAAGGAGTTGACATATCAAATCAAGCTGATGTATTTCAGTACGGCCTGGCAATAATGGCTTGTGAACTACATAATGAAATACAAAATTATTTATTTTCCAAAAAAACTTAATAAATATAAACATACGTAATAATTCAGCAAAAATACATCCAGTTGCCCACATATCAATAGCTGTTGTTAGCTTAGGAGAACCCAATAACACTTCAGGAGCTCTGTACCAAAGTGTCACTACTTTGGCTGTCATTTTTTTCGGTGGCACACCAAAAAAACGTGCTAGTCCAAAATCGGCTAGATAAAATGAAATAATATTATATATTATAAAAACAGCATTCATCAACTTATATTTATCAAAATGCATTTTATTTACCTATTTTTACACAGCCTTTGTCTGTTATCAATAAATTTGATACTTTAAGATCTCTATGAATGATGAAATTTGAATGCAAATACTTTAGTCCTTTCAAAAGCTGTAAAAATATACACTTCACTTGAGATTCGGTGAACGCTGTGGCCATATTATCCAGTAAGCTAGATAAATCATGTTCACAATACTCCATGGAAAGAAATATGCTAAAATAATCATAAAATAAATACTTTATATTTATATTTTGTATTATAAAAAAAAAAATATGATTACACTGTAAAATATACAAATTAAAATAAATGATAAATTTAAAACCTCAAAATATTATTGGTAAATAACTCAATTTCATAATTGAATAAATAAATTTCAATAAGCTTAGAAAATGTTTTCTTAATATTAGAATATATACATTTCAATTACAAGGGCAATATAAAATAATTTTAAAATCATAGTTATCACATCTGATTATTTTTTGCTTATAAAGCAAATATTTTACAGCTTTGTATTTAATTTTATTAAAATAATGGTGAAATATTATTTAAGCTATTTATTCTACTAGAATGTCACTGTAATTATTTGTGAAAACAATTAGTTATGCTATGATTGAAATTTAAAATGAACACAATTAAAAAATTACGAACTTCATTTATTTTAAGATAAAGATTGTTTGGAAAGCATCTATATTTTTTTGAAGTTTCAAGGAAAACAAGAGATAAAATACATTTCAAAGTTCAATTTTTGAAAAGATACTGCATTAACAATTTTAATATAATCAATAGTTTTAAACGAAAAAAAATTTCAATGTAAGATCAATACACACCTCATGGTGCTTAGAACAAAAAAATGTTAACATTATAACTAAAGAAAAATCTAAAACTAAAATTTCAGTAACTTTAATGACAGTCAATATTCAACAAAAAGATTCATCATACTCTCAAAATAATCCTTTTCTTTATGATATGGGTTTTAACACTAAATCTAATATAAATACCATAATTTATATCTTATACTAGGGGTTTTGCTATACTATACACAGATATCAAATATCAGTAGACATCCTTATGAGCGAAACACAAATTATGCACTAATTTATTTCAAATAAATATAAAAGTATTTAAATAATAAATTTGTACTTATTATATGATTTCAAAATTAAAATTAAAACATGATATATAGTTTATAATACAGTGTGTTTGAAAATGAATTGTCCAATTTAAGTAAACTATAAATATTGTTCCTGTAGTTTATGGTAAACGAAGCACCAACCATCTAAATGGTAGGATCATCAAAATTTTATTAATTGCTTTTAAATATGCGAAAAGAACACTTTAGCTAAGTGACGTGATTTAATTAACTTTTATGGAAATATTGAGTTACAAAAAGTATTTTGTGTGCTCGGTTTCAAAATGTGTAAATTTTTTATTACTGTAAAATATAATCTTCAACAAAAGTTAAACATTGAACCTTCAACAGCCCAAAGTATTCAAAGATAATTTAAAATCTACCAAAAAACTGGTTCTTTATGTAAAGGGAAGTCATAAGATCAACCAAAAACTTATAATGAAAATACGGATGAAGTTTCATAAAAAGTCCGTGAAAATCAGTTCATCATCCATCCAGAGAATATACTATTTCACAGACATTAGTTTGAAGTGTTTTTAGGAGATATGAAATATAAACCGTACAAAATTCAGTTACTGCAGGCTCTCCATGACAGCGATGTGCAAAGAAGGCTCGAGTTTTGCACATTTATTCTTGAGAAAGGTGAAGAAATAGAACAGTTTTCCTATTGTATTATTTTCATTTTAAATATTATACCTAAAATTTAATGTAATCAACTGACTTGTAAAACTTATCCTAACCTAATTAATCAAATTTAGCAATATGTATAATTTTTTAAAATTACATGAATTACTCAAAAACCCACTGCATTAAAATAAGCAAAGTAATAGAGGACATAAATACTATTTTTATATAATAAATAAATCTTAACTCAGAATCTAAATTTGCAGAACATAAACACACTATAATTTAATATTCACCTGTCTAAACTTCTTCCCACTAAAACTTCTTGTAATCTGACAATATTTTCATGATCACATTTCAGTAATAATGATATTTCACGAAGGGCACTCATAGGTAATCCTTCTTTTTCATTTTCCATGCGTACCTTTTTTAATGCCACTATTTTCTCCACGGGTGATTTTGAATCTTTAGCCCGATCTACAAAAAAATTTTAATATAAATATTACAACTATAATATTTATTCATATATAATATTATATATGAATATTTATTTTTAATTATTTATATATATATATAACTTGAAAGTAAATACAGAAGTATAAACAGGAGCAAAATTTTATAATAAATAAAATTTATCACTTACAAACCACACCATATGTTCCTTCACCAATTCTGTTTAACTTTTCAAACTCTCCGACAAAGCGACATTTTCCAAGCTAAATACAAAGAAAAATAATACTCAATATAAAATAAGTTAATTTAGGGTAATGACTAAATGAAATAAACTAACAAGATCTTTTTCAGGAATTGGTATAGGTTTGAGATGTCGAAAAGAAAATATTGAACCTAAAAGCATTACAGGTCCAGTAGGATCGTAATCTGCTAATACTTGTTTGGATTTTTTGATACCACCACTTTCTATGGTTCTTTCTTTTTTGTTTTTTTTCGAATGCTTCTCTGAAAATAACAAATATAGACAAAATATTTAAAAAATATTAAGTATAATTTTAATTAAATCGCTTAATAAATTTTTAAATCAAATAACTTTTTGAACTTTTTCCCATTGTAGATTGATTAAGTATGTTAAGTATAAACTTAAATACGGTAGTCAAAAATTGATTTAACAAGTTCCAACTCAATAACAGTTAATTAACAGAGAATAAGAATTGTATTTAACTTCTATATTACTAAATCTGTAACAAAACGTTTATATTAACACAAATGATAATATTTGATCTCGGCGTCCGTGGACGACGGCCATAAAGAATCGATCGTTGTTATCATTATAATACATGGTTGCATTTTTAACGAAGAATTCATTTGATTCAATTTAAATTGCAGCACTGTGCAACGCCGTGATCGCGGTGAACCGCCAACTTTTAAAAGGATTAATGATATGTAATTTAACGTCGGGTATAAATTTTAGTTTCTAAACACATACACAGTTGTAATTATTATATAATTATAACTTATAATCACTTATATACGTTATAATCTATATTTAATCACAGTTCCTACTTATAGAACCGTAATTTATTAGTTAAAGTATCGTGGTAACTAGTAATGCCGATATTTTGAACAATTTTGTACTTATGTACTATATATCATCATTAACTTACTTATGAATGCTATGACTGCTAGAAAACATCGTATAGTTCGAGTGTAACGTATAAAACTAGTTAATATAAATTGTGTAGTTTCTTGACCAAAAACTCAACAAAATAATAAAAATCAAAAATCACAACCAAAGATATGTTGAGTAATTAATGATAATGATAAGATAAATGTATAATAAATAACTATCAACATATAAAACACTATATTTCCTTATTACGGACAAAGTCAGTGTTGGGCGTAATCGATTAATTTACGATTTATTTTTGTAATCGATTACAATTAATTTATTAAATTACATTAGTTATTAATCATTTAACTATTTGTTAAAGTAATCAGTAATCATGATAACATTTGTGTAATTGTTAAATAATAATCGCATAACTACAATCTTCTACAATCTACTACACAACGTCAACTATTTCGACATTTTAGAGCCACTTATTACCGGCCGATAGCTACATTTATATACTTCGTATGTAGGTATGTTCCAAATACTCTTGCAAATATTTTATTATAAAAATCCTATGATTTTTACATTATTAATTATTATATTTATATTGTCATGATTAAATTATTATTACTAAGATACTTATCTCAATTAATTAAATATATTATAAAAAAATTACTTTATTTAATATGTATATTTACATATTTCTTATAAAAAAAAATAATTTTTTTTTATTATTAACCGTTATTTTATTCCATAATATATAATAATTACGTACATTATTGTTTGATTTACTCGTTGTTAGTTTTCTTTATACAATAACTATCGTTATACCTAGTTGGCTGAAATGGAAAGAAGCGTCGGGCGTTTTATGCAATAAGAAAATTCCAATGAGGTTGAAAAGTAAATTTTATAGGAGAATAGAACAGAGTATGAGTGTTGCAGAAATTAGAATGCAGAGATGGAGTGACAAGAGAAGATAGAATAAAGAACGAATATGTGAGAGATAGTATTAGTGTAGCGTCATAGTGAATAAGAAAAGAAAAAATAGACTGAGAAGGTTTGAGCATGTGATGAGACGAAAAAAAACAAATGCAGTAAGAGTTGTTATGAAAATGATTATTGAAGGGATAAGAGAAAGAAAAAGACCAAAAAAAGATAGTTGGATATGATTGAGAATAACCTAACCTACCCTACGAGGGCGTTGAAATGTGCGTAGGGGATGTCAAAAATCGAGACAAGTGGAAATTTAGGTAAAGGATGACCGACCCCAAATAGTTCGGATAAAGGCAAAGAAGAAGAACTGATAACTAGTGCTCATAACTTATAGCTGTAAAAAAGGTTGTTATAAGCGCTTAAATATGCTCTAAAAAGTATTCATATAAGCGTTTAAATATGCACTAAAAATACTAAAATATATAAAAAAAAACTTTGTATACAAAAATTATTATTTTATTATTTTAGCTTCCATTATTAAAAAAAAAAAAAAAAAATTTAGATACTGAATTCACGAAACGAACTAGCATGCATACAGTACGAAAAATCGGAAACGACTGCAAAATGTTAATGAAAAATAAAATCTGTAAATATTCTGAGAATGATGATATCAGAATATCTAGATAATGATATCGGAATACCCGATACCTAGAACATAGAAAAGAGATTAGACCTAGAAACTATAAAAATAAAATACTACACTAAAAAGCTATAATTATATACAATTATAATGGTTTCCTTATCGATGGGATTACGAAGTTTCGGGCGTACACTCTCGCTACGTCACGCGTCGCTTAAACTCGTATAGATAATATCTATATATATCTATCTATATATATTATATATAGTTTCTTCTGATATTATTATATAAGTTATATAAGAAGAAAAATTAATTAACACGAATTAATAACTAATATGAACAATTAATATGACTATAATTACTTGTTATTTTTAAGAAAATATGTTTTAGGCTACTAAAAAATTTTTTAAAAAAATCAATGATAAAAATCATGCAAAAATCCAAAAATAAGCAAAAATAAAACAAAATAGCACTTATACTCCGAAATATGTAAAAATATGCAACATAAAATTTCGTATGTAGTTTCTTGGTTATCTGAAACAAATTTATAGCTCACATAGGTACCACTAGGACCTCTCAAAAAAAATATGCAAATGCTAGAAGTTATGAGCCCTGCTAATAACTATAGTATATATAGACAGGCCCGTATTTAAGAGGGGACACGGGTATGCACATGCCCGGTTATTGTATTTTTATTATACTATAATTTGTTTATTAAAAAAAAGTATTAAACGATTTTCATTTATAAGTTACCTTTTAATATTAAAGAATCTCGATTATGGACGAAATAATAAGTTTTATATTATTATTATTTATTTGGGATAGGGGACATAAATTATATGCCCGGGGGCGCCAAATTTTTAAATACGGGCTTGCATATAGAATACACTACAATAGTCAATAAACAGTATATTATTAAAAATTGTATCTCAAAATATAGCTATTATTCAGCTTAAAATCGTTATTGAAAAATCATTTATCATTAATTATTAAAATTATTTATGGTTACAAATTAACATATGTTGTAATCGTAATCAACACTATGATTACAATGATTATATTATTATTTCAATTATTTAAAACAATTTTATATTGTAATTAATGAGTACATCAATTTATCTTATGATTAATAACTACATATTCTAACCGTTATCTTTAATGATTAAGAGGACGTGATACCCAAAGCGTTACGTATCGCATTACGATTTGCTTAATACTGAACACTGAACAACGTAATAAAAACAATGCAAGATGCAGAAAATCTAAAAAGGAAACATACAAATTTAAGACACAACTATCTTACAACATACTACTCGTAGATCATTGTTATTGATATCGACAATTGACATTATACACGCATTAGGATATACTAGATACCCAAATATCCTATATTAACAATTAAGTTAGAGTAACCCACAAATTAAGATATACCCAGTGACGCACAAACAGGTTACCAAGGGGTGCAATTGCATGTGCTCTCGTCGGAGATGGATGTATGGATGGGTTGGTGGGTATATAATTGGACAACTTGGATACCTAACATTATGGAGTATGGTAAGCAAATAACATTATTATTATAACACAAACATTATACCTATACGGCACTTGGTGTAGATATCTTAATTTTAAATAATTATAATAAATCTTAATTTCTTAAATTTATAGTTATTTTAAGAATTGATTACAGTTACAGAAAACAATTTAAACGAACGTTTCTTTTTATAAAAAAAAAAGTAGTGGGTGGATGGCTTACTTTTTTTAGTTGCATGTGCTCTCAAAATACTTCTGTGCGCCATTGGATATTCCTACTGGATACCCAACGGCTGATGATAAGAACCTTCATACTGTCAATTGCACATGTCTCACACATAGAGTAATATTACTCTATGACCTGACAGCACTACAAGCCACGAACTACTACATGAACACTCAATTATGAATTGGGTCAGTAATTGATAACAACATACAATCATACAAACTATTAGGTTTGTTTTGACAAAAAACTGTACACTAATTGAAGACCACGGAACAACAACCTGACATAAATTTTTTGGTAAAATCGTTCTTTCAAATTTTATGATTACAAAAAATATTTTAGGTCGATTAGTACAACAACAAGACATCTTCAAGCCATTATTTAATTTTTTTTTGAGTATTTAAAAATACATTTTAAAATTGTTTTTATAAAATTAATTATAATTGTTCTGAAGGTATTCGAATATATTTTTTGTATATTTTTAAAACAGTTTTTTGTTCCTCCTGAAAAATTTGAAAAGTCTTGTTACTCCGTGGTCTTCAACTATTGTAGTGTTTGGGTAAAGTGTAAGAGGTGTGATCACTAACAAAATTGTTAACGTAAGCTCGTTGAGTATCCAACTGAGATCATATACTGGTGATGGGGCCATATCCCGATATTAGAAGCACATATAAGCGATAAGTAATAAATTCGTAAAGGAACCCAAAGTGACTAGCCAAAACACCTGTTGTAAACATAGACTTAAACATGTTTAAGTCTGGTTGTAAAGTACATCTAGCGCTTCTTATCATATTAGTAACAAATTATACAAGTAAATAGACCAATTTATTTACCGTTAAAATTTGTTTCTACTTTTATAAAACAATACATAGTTATAATTTCTGTATTCTTCTGAATTAAATATTACTTCTTTTTTCTAATCCAAAATAATATTTTGTATGATTCAAGGTGAATTAATCCACCCTGGTATGATTCTAAGTTGTTATCAATTACTGATAAATTTTATCACTGAATATTAATTTTATCCACTCGCAGAGCCATAAGACATTTGCAATCAAAGAGTCAGTTTGAGGTAGGGCTTAAAATCGAAATAAAAAATTACAATTTTTATTTCAATTTTGATTATTAATATTAATTTTTTTTTATTTCGATTTTGGTTTCAAATAATGATATTTATTTTTTGAAATTTCGATTTCAGAAAGTGGTATTAATTTTTTTCGGTTTCGGGTTCACAACAGAATGTTATCCATGACTTATAATAATTTCTCAAATTTTAGTACATCATCAGCGTAATAGTGTTGTAGGATGTAGCTGCAAGCTACTGATGTAGGTAGTATATATTTAAA